TCTTTCAGTTCATAGATATGTGACAAGATACATCACCTCATTGATGATGTTCTTTTGTGGGGGCAATTACCTCCTACACCAGAGCATTATGGGCTCTGTCTCTTATACACATCTAGATGTGTATAAGAGACAGCTTTCGAACCGTACGTGTCACCGGTACTTATACCGGCTCCCCGTACGGTACGGGGACCAGTCTCGTACCAGTTCTCTGCTACTGTACTCGTACTCAGTGTGACTTGCTGTTTTTGGCATTCGGGAATCCAAGACTTGGACTTTGTGCCTTGCCACTGTGTCTGCATCCGATCCTCAGTCCGAGGCCGTCGTGTCGAGTGAGTGAGTGTGTGTGTGTGCTCTCACTCTCCCCCTCTCTCTCCTCTCCCTCGGCTCACCCTCAGCCTCACGCTCGTTACACGCATTGTCAATTGAGCAGTGAACAAACAGCACATCGATCAGTGTGATCCACTTACAACGTTTTGTGGGGGTCCAATCACAAGCCAACTGGTAGGGGTGCCGACCAGTAGGCCGTGGTACTCAGATAACTGCATTAGTTAATAACTATTTTTTGTCCTCAGCTAAGTGGGTTGCCAGCTTGGCTAACTTTTGGAGTGTACTCTGTGCAACCTGAAGAAATTTAAATTGTCAATTCATTCAACTACATCGATACATATTGACTTCTGAATTGATCTGTGCTATGGCTGACATGATCAACTCAAAAAACAGAGTTGTCGTATTGCTAGTCCAAATGATAACTTGGTGAGCTGGTTTCATGCAATTTTGAGTGTTATGTCCAATAAAGTGATGTCTGCGGCCCTTCACAATGTTCAGGTAACTTGGCATGGATGTTCAAATTGGAAAATTAATGTTATTGATTCATTATCATGATGTTCCTTCCAACTGAGTTAGGAGTGCTGCTACTTAGCGACCATTGTTTAACTAGTCAAAATCTAGACGGAGAGTGGGCTTGTACTACCTAGATTAAGACAAAAACAGCAACTGGGTGACAGAGTGGTGTAGGGACACGTATGCACAGAGGGAGAGAAAGAGTGTTATGGGCATGAATTGTCGTCAGATAGTCGTTCAGAGGGAGGTTTTCAGCGAGTGCAGTCACACTGTAGTAGTGACCTTCGAAGGCAAATGATTGTGAAGTGTAGTTTCGAACATGGCCTACATGTATGTTGCATGTGCGATGTGCTGTGGAGCAGAGAGAGGGAGAGAGAGGGAGGGGGAGAGAGAGAGAGAGAGAGAGAGAGAGAGAGAGAGAGAGAGAGAGAGAGAGAGAGAGAGAGAGAGAGAGAGA